CGACTCGTAAACTCTAACCTAACCTTACTTTTCCTTTCCGTAATAACTTCTTTTTCGTTATTAGTTTAACTGTTTCTCCACAAATGAATTTGGAATATTCCTGTACAAGTGCAGCCTTGACAGGCTGCACGCATCGAAATATTAGCTTTCGAAGAAGATTTCATCGATAAGTCGAATAATTCATTATTATCAATGCTTCGAATTTTTCATTTTTATTATTGAAAGATATTGAAAGATAGAAAAAAGTTCAAATTCAATTCAACAAAGAGTTATTTTGTGCAATAATCAACTCGCCAATTTTAGAATAAATGACGATCAACCGCGACTCGAAAACTCTACTTAACCTAACCTTACTTTTCCTTTCTTTTTCGTAATAACCTCTTTTTCGTTATTAATTTAATTGTTTTTTCAGAAATGAACGAATTTAAAATATTGTTATGTAGAATATTAGCTTTTGAGAAGAAGAGTCCATCGATAAGTCGAATAATTTATTATTCGATAATTCATTATTATGCTTCAAATTTTTCGTTTTTACCATTGAAAGATATTGAAAGATAGAAAAAAATTCAAATCTCAATTCAACAAAGAGTTATATTACTTTGTGCAATATAAATCAATTTGTTAATTTTAGAATAAATGACGATCAACCGCGACTCGAAAACTTTACTTAACCTAACCTTACTTTTCCTTTCCGTAATAATTTCTTTTTCATTATTAGTTTAACTATTTCTCCACAACGAATTTAGAATATTGTTCCTGTACGAGTTTAACCTGGATCACGAGTGTAACCAAAACTCATTTATTATTATAAAATATTAGGTTAGCTTTCGAAAAAGATTCCATCGACGAGAGGATTATTCGATTTCAAAAATTCGGATCTGTGAACGAGAATCTCGAAAACGAGCCTCGAGGTAGGCCGAAATCCGTGTTAAACGAGGATAAACGGAAAGCGAAAGTGGAGACGGAGTTGGACGCATCTGGAATGACGGTTTTCGCGTCAAGGCGAAGAAATTGGAAAAATAGGTATCGACGGCAACCGAAGAAGAATGAAAAGTCTCGAAGCGTAGTCATCGCGCAGAGCTCGAAACGACACGAGTCCATTTTCGAATAGAATTACAAGCTGTGACGAGAGATGGATACTGAACGAATAACGAAAGCATCGTTACTGTCCGTAAAGGAAACGAGGAGATATCGTAACAGCGGTATCCCACTGGCGAGAAATGGATCGAGAAACAAGCCTCGTTAGCCGATAGACGCGGATCTGTTGTTCTGTGACGTGACAATATTTCACCGACCGATCATCATATTCGTTTCACGGTTGCTTTTAAAAAATAAAATATTCGAGAATTTAATAAAAAATGGAATTTGATCGGGGAAAATAATTCTTCCAATAAAAACAACAATTTCATATAGTCACGATATTTAATGGAATAAATAGCTAATTAATTTTTCGATCCACTGTCCGTCTTTCATTCGATAGAAATATCGAATTGCACGTAGCTACGAGAAGCTAGGAAACGTTTAAAGTAAAATCGAGAAAGCATCTTTGCGAAAAATCGAATCCTAAATATAATGGAGTTCTATTTTCGTCGCGAATTTCGTACGAATGGACGGCGAGGATAGAGAACGTATTGAAGGATTCCTCGAGAGCAATTTTCTCCTGCCTATTACACGCATCTGAGATCGGTCGAGGCGCCCGTCCTTGACGAAACATTCAACGCGCGCCATCTCTTTCCTTTTCCTCCCTCCCCCTCGAAACGATCAACTTTATTCCCAACTTTTATCTCCCCTTCACACACACACACACACACACACACACACACACACACCTGATATATATCGTTTCTATTTCGCCCCAATCTCGGATATAAAAGTACGTAGTTTACATAGAATGCCATACAAAGTCCATTCCAAGGTGACTCGAATGGAAAACAATCGATATTTTCCTACATACGAATCTTTCAAAGATTCTCTCAAGATTAAAAAGCCGAGAGATTAAAAGATTGAGATTGAAAAATTATTTCTGTCCACGAAAAAAAGCGCTATCTAAACACTGCCTCTCCGTTTCTCGGATAAAATTCGAAACTGGATTTACTATACTGGATTTTATAATATTATCCCTAATACTTTACACGAGGTATAAAAGATTGCATTACACCGCTTTTATCACATTCTCCTGATATGTATCCGTTTCGTGCTCACCGTTCCTAATTCGAAGCGAGCGATAAACCGAGGATCGGTTTTCAATTCCCCCTCACGAGTCGTGCACCCTTCCAAAAAGAAGAAAAATCGCGACAGATATATATACCTTTTTTCGCATTTCCGCTGTCGAATGCGCAAAAAAAAAAAAAAAAAAAAAGAAAAAAAGAAAAAAACGAGTACCGAATCGAAGGATCACAGAGCGGCTCTCGCTCATTTCCCCATTTTTATATATATATATATATTATATATTATATACTATATACACAGACGGGTGTGGCTTTTCTCCCTCCTGTACACGATAAGCTTATAACGTACTCGTATATATAACAACTTCCAATGTGGATTATAAAAATATTAAATCTTCTGTAATATATTATACCAACTAGTTAACCTACGCGATATGTATAACTCACGGACCAATGTGATCCATGTGGCGGGGATCGCGTGGAACGCGACCTCGGTCCCCCCCCACCCTCCCATCCCTTCCCTTCTTCTCGGTGAAAAACCGAGAGATCGTTCCCTCGCCGACTCTCGCCTATATATATATATTTCCTTTTCTCTTTTTTGGCCGGCGTATTAATTTCCTGTGAACGAGCGTCTCCGTTGTCCCCGTCCGTATTTCCGTCTCTTCGTCACACCTCTGTACACACCGCAAGTCAGTCAGGAAGGATGGAACGGAGAACTAGAGAAATCGGAACGAAAAATGGGGAATTTTGATGTTAATTTTTCGATCGAATATAAATGGATATACTTTAGATAAATTATTTTCAACTAATTTTATCCGTTCCACCCTATTGCTATCGTAGTAACCTGTCTTTCCCCTTCCTGTCCGGTGTATCGTGTGTAGAGCGTGTACGTATGTATGTATGTGTGTATGTATGTGTATTGTGTATACGTAGATACGGTAGGATGGAACAAGACGTGCCTTGGTTCGCAGCCACGCGCGGAGGCAACGGGTAACACACAAGCATCGATGGCGATCATTGCGGCGCTCTCTTTACCAGAGATCGATCGACCTAAATACGACCTGGCGGCCGTACAATGTGCTCGAATTCGTTCCACGAGAATCGACGGACAGACGTCCGGCCCTCTGACCGACCGACCACTCTCTCTCTCTCGTTCTCTCTCGTGGCACGTGGCTGATATTAGATGGATCGATTGTTATTCCAACCAAGAGATTTTTACAGATACCTCGATCGATTCTTTTTTTCTTTTCTTCTCTCCTCGATCGTCTCGTTCAAACGATTCTCGATCCCGTGTAGTATCTAAGTGGTTAATCGGCTGTCCATCGAGCGAGGTGTTTCATCGGTTCGTGTCACGAGACGACGAGCAGCAGGGGAATGGAAAGAGATGGATCTCGCGTACGTTTCACGTGCGTTTGATATTACGTATTTTTGAGTTGTTTTAATAATTGTTTTTTTTTTTTGAGAATATACAAAGAATCGATGAATTATCAAAATATGATTGTTACAGATCCAATTTCTTTTGATTATTCTTTTTTTGGATATATATTGTATCGAGTGGAGAAGTAGTAGTAATAAAAGTTTAATTTTCGGTTTATTCGTTTATAATCTTCGAGATAAATGTTTTGCTGTCCGAATCTCGTTTATATTTTTTCCAATTCCAATGGATTACTGTGCACGTTTCGTCTTGATGCAATTGTATTTATTTCTTCCCTGAGATCGATTCGATTCGAGAATTAAACGAAGTTTAAAGGTTTCCTCGTCGACGTCGCCTGATTGGCATTCCACTATTAATAATACTATCGTTCTCGACGGTTGAATCTAAATTCAGTTTCATAATTATGACGAAAATGGAAGAAAGAATTTAAAAGTCAGTTACGAGTTTAAGTAATAAAAATTAACTACGAAGGATAATAAAGATTAACTACGTCGATGCTGATCTGCCATTGGTCGACGAGCCATCAAATGGGCATTATGAGATAAGATAAGATAAGCCTCTATTTCGGTCGAATTTTTCGCTCGTTTTAAATAAAGAATAACACCGATGCTTAGTTTAATTTTATCCTTTCTCTTATTCTGTCGATTTTTCTAGCAACGAAAACCGAATAACGCGGTGTAACAAATAGCGAGCACCTGCCGTATCGTCTTCGTCGCGCGAGACGAGGTTCAAGGTAGCCGTTAAACGAACGAAACTTTTCTCGATCGGAAATATCAATCTAGCGATCGAAGCAATTGGCACGCAAGAATGCGAACGCGAGACCCGATTCAGAATCCCCGTTAATAACGAAGAGTCTTGTAATCCATTAAATTGCATCCACTCGATTTAACAGCTTCTCTGATCGAGAGGAGGGATGGCGCGATTCGAGAAAAACGCGCATCGTATCTTTGTTCACCACTTCGTTCTTCCTTCCAACTTTGTTGTCGAACGAATTAACAAACAAGTTCAGTCTCGATCAATTTTTTTGCTTTGATGAACGTGAAACGCGCGCAATAGTCTCTTATTCTTCTCAAATAAGATAATGTATACGAGACGGTCAGAGAATGGTTTGATTTGACGCGTGAAAATTAAAAAAGAATGTATTTTCGTTTTTAAAAATTCGAGCACATTGTCACTACTCCATAAATTTTACTCCATTGTCATCGACCGTGTTACCCGCGCGTTTTCGATGTTGACCTGCCAATCTGAATAGAATATATAAGATAAGGTACTTATCTTGATCAGCCTTAATTCCTTCCCACGACGAGAAGCGCCAGTTTCCCGAAGAATTTCGTAACGTTCACCAAAAAAAAAAAGACTTTCAGATAAGTTGTAATTTTAATTTTTCGAGTCGAAAAGTGATCGACCCTTGAATATTTCTTCTTCGATTCCAAGATCACGAAGATATCCTCTTCCCTTTTCCTTCACAACAAGATGTTCCCTTCTTCTTCCTCGTCCATTTTCGAGGGAATCTTCGCGACCTCGTCGAGTAATAGATCGAATCGAAGCAGAGAACAGCATCGTTCGTTGGAATGAAAATAAAAAGGAAAAAAAAAAAGAGAAATTCTTCGCGGAACAACGGGGCAAAAAAAAAAGATTTGGGCCCGACGTGGCAACCACGATACAATATACGGCGATCGAGCCACCACCTCTACGATGGTTATTCCTCGGGCCAGCCGAGATCCTCCCCCACGAGCTCGTAGAACCGTTGATTGTGCTCGTTGAAGAACCTCCTCAGCTTGGTGACAACCACGGGGCTTACGCGCGGATGCCGTCTACCCTTGCTCTCCTTCAAGCACTTCTCCGACGTCTCGTTTCGAAGGCAGTAGAAACCTTTCGTGTGGTTGAAGTAGAAGTTGTGCCTTCCTATCCGCGGCTCCAATCCAAGGAAGTTCTCGATCCTGCGCAACTGGGGCACCGGATCCTCGATCAGCTGGTCGCCGTTCACTATCAGGATCTGATCCCTTGAAAACACTTCGAGCCACCTGTGCATGTACGTGTGGTAAAGGGAGATGGCGACCGGCCTGTACGACTCGTTGATGCTACCGTCCGCTCGTATCACCAACTCCTCGAAGCTGCGCGCCGCTTGCTGCTGTTGTTGCTGCTGCTGCTGCTGCTGCTGTTGCTGTTGCTGTTGCACGGTTCGAGGCGTACCGTTCGTCATCGTCGAGGCGGTGGCCGCGTGTGTGCGTAGTTGAGTGTAGTCGGATATCGCCCTGGTCACTGGCTCCCGCACTATCAGCAACAGTTTCACGCTCGCGTTCATCGCTCGAATTCTTTCAGGTACCTGGAGATAAGGGAGAATTAATTGGAGTGGATTTTTTTTGGGGAGTGGAGTTGGGGAGTGGAGTTGGGGTTTGTTACGCATCTTAGATATAAATGGTACGATGCAATTTTGTAAAATGTGTAAAAAGAAATGTATGAAAAATTATATAAATTTTATATCCTATTTTTAAATAAGATACGTACAGAGTTAATATTATATCTCAATACATCTCAAAACATTTATTATAATTAATAAATAATTATAAAGTATCGATAAGTTTTTTGGTTTCCTTTTTTTTTTTTTTTTTGGAAAATTGAAGTTAAAGTTAAGTAATTATTTCGTATTAGAAATTCACACGATGCATAGTCATTCGAATTATGTATATTAACTGGATAAAATTTATTTTCAAATTAAAAAATAATTGTTTCGATGTAATATATGAAAAGTTATTACGCTACAAATTTTAAATCCTATTTTTAAACAAGATACGTAGAGAATTAATCGATAACTGATCGGTCACGTTTCAATAGTTAAAAAGCATTTAAATTTCAAATTTTATAACGGATATAGCATCTCGAAATATCTATTTTAAATCCTTATGAATTATCCACAAGTTTTTTTTTTTCATAAATTAAAGTTAAAATTAAGTAATTATTTCATATTAGAAACTATGTAATGATTTGTGAATGATTTTTTACACGTTCTACATCGTTTCATAAGAGTCGAATGTACGAAAAGTACAAACTTTTATTTATCGCCATATTTGATTCGCAAAATTTTGCAAAATTATATTAAAATTATTTTTAATTTTCACGGCTGTTCATGATATATAAGGGCACAAGAGAACGAATTCTTTAATTTAGTTATTCATATTTATGGATTAATTTTGAGCTATTTTATATTATAATATATATATAATAATATTTCTAATTTTACTTCTTATAGTGCTTGTTTCATTTTATAATTTTCAGTTTTATCGTTTTTATCGTTATTTCATTAAATTATTATCGTTTAAGTTTATACCTGGCGGATAATTTATAGGATAGCATAACTTTTCTCTTTAATAAGCATTTATTCCTTAACATCCGTTTCCTTAGAATATTCCATCTCCAATTCCGGTTTATCGTTCGTTTATACAAATTCGAAGCTCTTTTAAAATTGATTGCCCGCCAGATATTTCGTTGTATATTTTATTTTTATTCCGCACTAATTAAACGCAATATTAATTTTTTTTTCACACGTACTTTTATCATCGTACACATTTTCAACGAAACGATAAATTATAATAAAGATCGGTATCGTTCTCTATAGATCTCCTCTCGTATGCCATCTCAAAACGATGGAAAAAGATAATTTTTCTCCAGTTCCAACTTTATCCTTCGAACCACTGCTTTGAACTGTCCAAAAGAATAAAATTGGTCGTCGAATAAGACGCGTCGTCCCCACTTGCACAGTGTCGACCATACAGCGCGACAATATCCCCTCTCCTTTCCTACGCGATACTCATAATTCCGCGGGACACAGTGTTTACGTTTGGATATTGCTGGTAAATGCGAGTCGCGTGTCGTAGAGCGGTAACGTTAAAAGCAGAAATGTGTTCGTGGAACGTGGCGATTATATTAGGTAAAGTTTTCTTTTTTTTTTTATTATTAGATACCTCAGGAAACGAACCATTCCAACGGAAATTACTTAATAAAGTTGCCATAAAGCTTCTGCTAATTTTTTTTTACGAACTACGCGTGGCATACTTTCACGTAAAAAAAGAAAACAAAATGTTTTTCTTTCTTTTTAAAACGTGGCAACGAGGCACGTATTATCGTTTGTAAATCGAAAAGAGGATAAACAATTCCTCCTTCCTTTAATGGAGATCGTTCGAAGCCGCGCCAAGTTTTAAAATGAAGAATGAAATCCAACCGTATCGTTCTAACGATCTTCCAAACATGGTCGTGAAAAATAAAAATTTTCCACGGGAAAAGCTGTACACTGTATACTGTTTAATATTCGGCGAGATCGTGGGAGGATCGCTTTGGATCGTGTTCATTACTCGAAAGCAATGTTTCTGTCAAGGAGAATCAAATTCTCGAGAGTTGACACGTTCCATTCGCGAAAACGATTACATACTCGAAATTATTTTGCGCCTCTCCTCCAATTTCCCTCCGACATTTTCGGTTTTCATTTAAAAAAAGATCGCGCTTTTCCACCGATTTTTCGATCGATTTTTTTTGTTGCAAAATGAAAAGGATGAAGACGATGCTCGAACCGAATACCAAGGTTTCTTCCAACGTGTTTCACTCCATGTTCAACTCTGTAATTGTTCAATCTGCGATTGAAACGAATTCTCTAAATTTATTACCGTGACGATCGATCGACATCTAATTGAACTCTCCAACGCTCCGATTAACTTCTTTACTCTGTATTCCTCTTCCCACCAAATTAGTCTCCGCGAAAATGATTAAACGCAGTGTGTGTGTGTGTGTGAAGGGGGAAGTCTCGATTGAAATGCAGAGTTTGAAAATTATTTTTTTTTCCGATTTTTTTGAGCTCATTTAAATTTTTCGAAAACGATACTGCTTTTTATTATTATAATTTATTATCCCGTTAAAGATGTATATAGATGTATAGAAAGAAAGTTAACTTAGAAAGCGCTTCGAATTTACAAGTGTACGATAAACTGGACTAAGAAAAAAATGCTTATTAAAAAAAGAATATATATGAGCCAGATCTAAATACCTGTCTTTTGTTTAATCTGCAAACGTTTAAAAATAGAATTTTTAACATGGTTATTATACGTTACATCAAAATAATTATTTTTTTTACGAATTTGAAAAATGAATTTTCTCCACTTAATATACATTATTCGAACTGAGGAAATTATATCGTAAATTATAAAATTATCGATATTTTCGAGGCGACCCACCTCCGGCGTGACGAAATAACTTGGACTCTTCTCGATGGTGATCTGGCCCCTGAACGAATATGGCATCTTCCTTCGATACCACTCCAGCCCTTTCCCGTAATTGTCATCGCGGTCGAAGAAGTGGACCTCGCCAGCCGCCTTCTGTATCTGAGGATGGAGGAACAGCATCTCGAGGAGGGCCCTCGTCCCGCATTTCCTCACCCCGATTATTATCGCCTGAGGTAGATGGCGGCTCGTGCGGGGGAAATGCACCTTGCTCGAGAAGAGGAGGGGGGGCGTGGCGCGGACTTGGGACACGAGCTCGACCGCGCGCCCCTCCACGGCCGAGGCGGCGTGAAGGCTGTACACAGCGCTGTCGTAGAGGATGTGGAACGTGAGAAACAGGGAGAGAAGGACCACGGTGAGGAAGGCGGCGGCCATTTTCGGCCTCGATATTCCAACCACAAGGATGCAGTCCGATGTGTCGCCCTCGGCCGGCCTCATGGCAGAGCGGGGCATCCACCTGGAACAATTGTTCTTAATTATTATTATTATTATTATTATTATTATTATTATTATTATTATTATTCGCAACGATTGTTTATCATTTTATATAGGAAATATCTCGTTGTTTGTAACTCTCGTTCTTTTTAGGAGAAGAATGATGTTTTTAATTTTTTTTTTCTTTCCTTTATGATTATTTTTTTTTTTATCAATTAATCTTATCCTTTCCAACGCTTTTCCAAGAACATATGTAAAATTAAACAAGATTGATTAATCTCCTTAAATTTTATCACAAATTTCATTTAAATATGTCTAAATGATAAAAACTAATAAATAAATAAAAAAACTAAAAAAAATCAAATTCGTGTAATAAATTTTTAAAATTTAACGATATAAAATGTATTTGGAAATTATGTTTGGAATGAATAAGATGATTAATAAGATATTTATTAGACAAATCAAAGAAAAATAAAATTTGTCTAATAAATTTTTAAAATTTAATTTTGGAATTTAATTTAGCAACGCGTCTTAAAATAACGATATCAAATGTATTTAGAAATTATGTTTTGGAATGAGTAAGACGATTAATAAGAAACGACGAATTGTTGAGCCGATGGAAAGATAATTTATTGGCCTATCCAATAATGAATCAAAAATTAAAGTTACGGAGAATTGGCTTGGAACGAAGGCTACGTGGAATTTTTCCGGTTAACTAATCACACGTATTGGCACGGGATATGAGATATTCGAAATCGATCGGGCAGAGTCCGTAAAATTCGAACAGGATATTTTCGTTGGTCGAGTGCCAGGATCGTTTCTCTCTAAATGACAACAATTCTCACGAATTCTGCAACGCGATATATCTTACACCATCCTGAAGTTATCATCTCTCAGACGATTAACGAGTATTAAGCAATCGTTGAATATGATCTAAGAATAATTTATCAGGCCATTCAACAAGAAAATTGAAATATTAACTTTGCGAAATTTATATGTTCAATTCTTCGTATCTTAAGTAATCTAAGAATAATTTATCAGACCATTCAAATATTAATTTTGTGAAATTTATAAAATTCAATTTAAGAATAATTTATCAGGCCATTCAACAAGAAAATTGAAATATTAATTTTACGAAATTTGTACATTCAATTCTTCGTATTTTAAGTAATCTAAGAATAATTTATCAGGCTATTCAAATATTAATTTTGTGAAATTTGTATATTCAATTCTTCGTATCTTAAGGAATCTAAGAATAATTTATCAGGCCATTCTATAAGAAAATTGAAATATTAATTTTGCGAAATTTATGTAAAATAAATTTATGTAAAATAATGTAAAATTCAATTCTTCGTATCTTAAGTGATCTAAGAATAATTTATCAGGCTATTCAAATATTAATTTTACGAAATTTATATATTCAATTCTTCGTATCTTAAGTGATCTAAGAATAATTTATCAGGTCATTCTATAAGAAAATTGAAATATTAATTTTTCGAAATTTATATGTTCAATTCTTCGTATCTTAAGTGATCTAAGAATAATTTATTAGACCATTCAATAAGAAAATTGAAACATTAATTTTGCGAAATTTGTAAAATTCAATTCTTCGTATCTTTGGAAATATAAAACATTTAAAATCGTTTCTCTCTAAATGATAACAATTCTTACGATCTGCAACTTTCGTTAAAAATGTCTTATACCATTTGAAAGTTAGAATCTATGAGATGATTAACGAGTAATAAATAAGATATGAATAATTTTAACATTAATTTTGCAAAGTCTGTATATGCAATTCTTTGTATCTTTGGCAAATGATCAATGATCGAGATAGAAGATATTTTTATTATAAATAGTCTCTCCTTATATATAATCTATCAAATAATCGTAAGATATAAATGGTTAACTTTGTGAAATCTATATATGCAATTTGGTATCTTTGAAAATATGAAAAAATTTGAGGTAGATAATATTTTTATTATATATAATCTCTCCCTAAATAACACGATCTATATTTTATAGCACGAATTATTTCTGAGATGATTAACGAGCATTAAATAATCCTAAGATATAAATAGTTAACTTTACGAAGTCTGTAAGTCTATGCAATTCTTCGTATCTTTGGAAATATGATCGAGTTATTATGTAGTCTCTTCCTAAATGACACGATTTATAAGGATATCTCACAGCACTGAAAGAGTTATTTATGATATGATTAACGAGTATTAAATAAGATATGAATAACTTCAACTTTGCAAAGTATATGCAATTCTTCTATTCTATTTTTGGCAAATATCGACACAGAGGATATTTTTATTATATATAGTCTCTCCCTAAATGACACGATCTATAACGTATTAATAACGATATCTTACAACACTTGGAGAGATATTTATCTCTGAGATGATTAACGAGTATTAAATAATCGTAAGATACGAATAACTTTAACTTTGTGAAATCTGTATATATAATTCTTCGTATCTTTGGAAATATAAATCATTCGATCGAGGCAGAGAATATTTTTATTATATATAAATAACACAATAACACCTCTAAATAACACAATCTATAAGGATATCTCACAGCAGAAGAGTTGGAAGAGTATTAAATAATCGTGAGAAATGAATGGCCATTCAACAAGTATACATAACAAAATCGAAACTATATACACAATTCTTCGTATCTTTCCAAATACGAAGCGTTCGATCGAGGATCGTTATCCCATTCCACTCGATTCCGCCATCCCCATCACCAGATTATCATTACCACACACCACATACATTCGCTTTAATCCGGCCCAGACACCGCCCATAATTTATTCTTTCCACGCCTGGGCGTGGAATTATTAACGCCGAATCTCTCGCATACCGATTAACCACCACCACGCGTTACACGAGCACGCGTCTCCACGACGCGCAGGGATCTCTCTCCATTCGGAATTTAAACGGAAAATTCGAGACTCGTCTCGGTCGGTAATTGAAACGCGAGCGAGATAAGCGAAGCAGCCGGAGTCGCGGCCAACTCGCAACGCGCCAACTTCATTACATAGTCGTAACCGCGATTCAATAACACGTTCGCGTCGTGCGAATACGTCGCGTTACTCCTCGAGAGTCGATCGAGTGCGGGAGAGGAGCTCGTCTCAACGTTTCTCAACTATATAACAAAAATATTTTCGAGATTGAACGTTCGAGGATATAGGAAAGTTTAGGATCTTTCGAGCTCAATCAATGTGAAATTTACCATCTCCTTTTCGCTCGTCTCGATGGATTGTTTATGGAATGAAGAAATTTATGGGATGAAAGATTATAGAGCCAAGTTATTAATAAATTAATAATATTTATAAATTTATTTAATTTTAATCAATCGAATTGAATGAATTTATATTTTTTTGCAAGTTTGTTAAGATTAATAATTATTAATCTGTCAGTAGTTTTTAATATCGATAAATTTATTTTATTTATTTTATGAATTAGAATTATCATTAATTTTTTTTATAGTTTAATTATACAATATTAATAAAATAATAAAATAATAAAAATAATAAAATAATATTTTATTTACGAATTTTTTCTTTATCTGTATTATATTTATTATATTTATTGATTTTAATCAATCAATATCATTTTTAGTTAAAATTCCTATTTATAATATTTCATTTTTTGATTATTAAAAGCTCACCTTATTATGGTCCAATAATTCTACCTTCTACTATATTAAAATTAGGCGGAGATACGGAACATTACGATTGATAAATAATTTTTAAAATGAGATTTAATTACTCAAATAACATTTTTAATTATCATTAATTCACTTGAAGTTTTTAAGATCGATATTGTTTATATATCAACACGATACAAAATTATCAATAATTATAAAAACAGCAACCTTCCACTTGAAAAATTATTAAAATTATCAAAAGAAATCGCACGTAAGACAGATATAATACTTTTCGTACAATTTCTTTCTCCCGAGCGATCGAAATCGAATCTCTCCTTACGCGATAATCCACGAAAATCCGCTTGCGTGCCAATTTTCCAAATCGCTCCAATCGACGATCGAAGAGTTTTTGTAACGAGCCAGCCCGAAAAATCGGTCGAGGAGTCCACGAAAAGGACATAAATGTAACGTACGTAATTAAAGGACGCGACGCGCGCGCCTCCTCTCGAGCCTCGAAAGAAACGAATGGCAGGAACGGTCTCGAGCGCGAATCGAGAGCATTATCGAGACACACTGGCAGCTTCGAACGACAACGCGAAGCGAGCCGTCATCCGGGCGATTTTTCGGGAGGAGAAAAATGGACACATCGAGATAAGAGAGAATCTCGTCGGAAACGCTGACATTGGTGCATCAGTGTTTGTTAGAAGGGAGATTATTCAAATCATCGGAGGAATTCGTGAAAATTCACTGAAAATAGTAGATCGGTGGGTAATTATTTTTCCTCTTTAAAAATTTAATATTTTTTTCATAAAAATTTTTTAATTATTAAAAGTTCACCTTATTACGATCCAATAATTTTAAACCTTCTATTATATTAAAATTAGGTGGAGATACGGAACATTACGATTGATAAATAATTTTTAAAATGAGATTTAATTATTCAAATAATATTTTTAATTAATTCACTTGAAGTTTTAAGATCGATATATTTATATAAATCCTATATATATAAATCCTCTTCTTTTTTAGTGAGAACTATTTTTATCAAAAATCGAAATATTTTTATCGAAATATTATTGATATCGAAAATCGTATATATTCGACGTATTATCATTAATAATTATTAATCTGTCAATAGTTTTTAATTCGATAAATTTATTTTATTTATTTTATGAATTAGGATTATCATTAATTTTTATTATGGTTCTAGTTCCACTTGGAGAAAGCTTGGAATGCATCTCGCGATCTCAACGAGCTTTCTTTGGCGAAGAGCTTTCTCCAAATGAAGTGTAATATGTGGATACGATTTTTGATTTTATGCATTTTCACTGACCGAAAAGAGAGGATTATTTTTACGAAAAAAAA